GGGTTGCGCGTTATCGGATATTATCATTCGCCAATTTCTTTCATGAAGCTGGGGCTAGTGCAAAAAGAAACACCGAAGAATAGCTTTCGCTGTTGGCCAAAGAAATTCTCCCTGGTGAGGCCGGCCATAGTGCTCAGAGACCACAAACGCCATCGCTACGGTAGAGCCGATCGGTGGATTCAGCGCCCAAAATTTGTGGGAGCTTTTCTGAGTGGAAAAATCGAATAAAGGTTCTCCTAAATAAAGGATAATTTTGCAGAGTTTTCACATTCCTGGGTAGTTTATTCCAAATAGCAATTGCATTTACAGAATAGAACCGACGATATTTAACAGTAAGTGCCAGAGTATGCATAAAAATACCTCACGTGGACTGGTTAAATCGAGGGTGGACATGATGTCTTAAAGTAGTGAGTGGGTTTAAGATACGATTAAATAAAAGCTTAAATAGCAAAAATAGTCCCTTTTGCAATCTACGAAACCATAAAGGATCAAGGCCTGTAGGCCGGCAACGTTCATGAAAAAGGAAAATGTCGGTTTTCCAGCGTTAAAGCTCTCTTGGTAAAAAAGTGTTGAAGGCATTCTATTTTCTTCCGCTGGGCAGCACGCATGAGGCTAAATAAAAACGAACAGTATTCCAGGCCAGGTCGAACGTGCATATTATAAAGGCGCATGCTAATATCACTGGCTTAAAGATGTCGGAGGATAAACCCGGTCGTTCTACGTGCTTTGGAAACTATAGATAGATAGATAGATAATTTTTATTAAAGACCCGTCGGGGTCCCATCAAAGCAAGTTAAAATAAATTTGCATGCGAGTTTTGGACGAGGTAGGCCGAATCTTTACAAAATGCAATTCATAGTTTCTGAATTAGAAGCCCATTGAGAAACATGATGATTGAGAGGTGAAAAAAAACTCCTTACAAAAAGTTAAAAATGATTGGATTAATTTTACAGGAGAAAAAAAACCCTCCATAAAAATAATAACAGAAAAAAGCGAGCAGGACTGGCCTGTAGGTGGTGGTATATAACGGAAGGTTGTCGGTCTTCGTCAGGGTAGCAATAAATGTCGAATGTGGGTCAGACAGGACTGGCTTGCAAATGGCATTGTATACGGGATTCACAATTGAGATCGTCTGGGCCTGATTGGTACGCCGCGTCAAAGAGGCCAGAGGAGAGGAACCGAGATACGATCGGCCACAGCACGCTTCGAGCTCAGCCGAGCAGTGAGGAAGGGAGGTACGACCGAACTACTAGTAGACAGTGAATACTGAGGGTTCCGCCGTGAGCGTCGACAGACCGCATGAGGTCGGAATGAGGGAGATGACGTCAAAATCCGCGAAAATTGTCGCTATGGGGGGGAGTGATAGCAGTGGATTTAGAAACCAATTCAAAATAGGGGTTTCTTATGATATAATTAAGAGTTACCACTTAATCTACCACTAAATCCCAGGAGGACCCTTCTCGAAGTCAAGAATCTGAGTGTTCGGGAATGAGACCGTTAACAGTGCCTTTATGCTTTCCGGTGTGAGATGGTTGCGTAATTTCGACTTGAATACCAGTAAAGTAGGCGATAATCTAATTTCAGGCGGAAGATTATTCCAAAGGAAGGCATATTTGGAAGCAAAGAAGAAGGGGCGCTTAGATGTAGTACAAAGAGGCGGCGGAATCACCATGCAGGAGTTGCGCGTGGCATAAGACCGATCTCTCGGAGTGAGAGTGTCAATGTGCGGAAGACTGGAGCTAGAGTTGATGCGAAAAAGGAAGCAAAGGCCAGCTTCGAGTCTTCTAAACCACAAAAACCTAATGTTCGTCAGCTGACATCTCTGAGTATAAGAAATACCGGGTGCAACATGAGAGAACAGTTTCCGGGTGAAAACCCTCTGAACATTTTCGATTTTATTACGGTCGCAGGCGTTCATTAAACCGAAGAAAGGACAGCAGTATTCGAGGACTGGAAGAGCAAACATTTGATAAAGTCTTAGCTTCATTTCCGGAAGGAAAAAGTTATGTGATTTGAATCCACATATCTGCGCGGCTTTGGCAGAGATTCTATCTGCATGAGGTGATAAAGCAAGCTTATGTGTATAACTTAGACCTAGGTCCTTTATTGTGAAGCATTCTGAGAGTGGGTTATTCTGAAAAATTATGGGACCAGGAAGTTTGGCAGGACCAAAAGACATGAAACTACACTTGGATGATGAAAACTCCATCTGCCATGTCAAACCCCATCTGCTTAAACGTAGTAAATCGGCATTTATTTTTTCAACACAAGCATTTGCGTTGTCCTTAGAGTATGAGTAAACACACTTGAGGTCATCGGCCTAAGTAAAAGTTTGCGAATTTCCTAGTTCAGTCGAAATATCATTGATGTACAGAAGGAAGAGTAGCGGACCCAGAACCGTGCCTTGAAGTACCCCACTCGTGATCGAGTGAGGTGTCGAGTAGCTATTACCGACCATGACTTTCTGATATCGGTTGGACAGATAGGACCTGATGAAGTCGAGTAGAGGTGGCCGGATGCCGAGAGCTTCCAATTTTACTAAAAGACGTCTATGGGGCACCTTGTCAATGGCTTTGATAAGATCAAAGTAAATAACAACCACTGACTGCCGCTCATTACGAAGAGAAGTGATTAGATTGAGAAAAGCCAAGTGGCATGTTTCGCAGGATCGTTCAGGTAGAAATCCATGCTGACTAGAGCTCAGAAGCCGATTAGCTAGACAGAAGTCAAGAATTTCATTGAAAATAATCCTTTCAAGAAGTTTTGCTAGAGACGGCGTTTTGTGCACGCCCCGATAGTTATTAACATCGGACCGAGATCCTGACTTGAAAACGGGAATGATAATTGACGTTTTCCATGTTTCAGGAATGAATCCTTTTGAAATATAAACCGAGAATAAATGACTGAGCAATATGGGAAGGTCGGACGCTTGTTTAATAATCGAATTCGGAATCTCGTCCGTTCCTGAGCAGTGTGGGTATTTCAAACGGCTTATGTGTTTCTTAATGAGATCTGAGGAGACATCAATTGTACTCAGTGTCCTATCTGAACGTGATCGAAAGCAAGGGACCGGATCGGACTCGGTAGCAAGGTGTTTTGCAAAGAAAGCACTAAACAACTCCGCCTTGTCACTGTCATCGTTGAGGAAGACTTTGTTATCATTTAGCATGGGTGGAAGTTCATGACCACGCTTAGAGGAGGACCGATGACGGAAGATGTTAGCGACGGATTTGCCAGGGTTCGAACCACTGAGAGCAATTAATTCTCTTTGCCTGTCGCGCGCTTGGCGCATCCTTGAGGCCATCTCAAATATCTCTGTGATTCTAAGATGAACAGATAAGGAACTAGTGGATGGGTCACGCAGTTGTCGCCTCAACGTTTTTAATCTGTTCTGAAGAAAATGAGGAACAAGGGAATCTGAAGAATTAGGCTTGAGATATCTACACGACACAAACTCTAGAATGTCCTTGGAAACATTGGACATGACATCACGAAGAATGGTTACATCGCTACAATTGAGGAAGCCACACCAATCCAAGGATCTCATATAGTTATTTATTAGGTCGCTATCTACGCAGTCGTACTTCATGAAAGTCTGAACGGCGCTTGTCTTTTTTGAAAAGGCAAGCGGTAGGCAACAATGAATTAATACGTGGTCACTGTCAAAGAGGTCCTTTTTTAAAGCAACAGAAAGAGGAGCAATGTCATTGGTAAAGGCTAGATCTAAAATGTGATTATCTCTTGTTGGAGAGCGCACCAATTGGGACCAATTAGAAAAATTGACAATATCTTGAAAGGGCTGGAATCTGGGTGGGCAGCTATTGAAAACCCAGTCTATTTCAGGGAGTTTAAAATCCCCAGTGATTATTTTAACATCGAAAGAAGCTTCCGAAATTAATTTAAAGATTTCACAGAGTTGAGAATCATCACTGGCTAAAGAATTTGGGGAGTTGTAGATACAGCCAATAATTGTCTTTCTTTGCGGCGAGAGAATAACAGATGCAAAGCAGAAGTTTCCCGTGAATGAGGAAACATCCAATTAATAGGGAGAGTGCTTTAGGTAGGATTTAAGATAAAGCAGACAACCACCCCCACGCCTAGTCGTGCGGTCTTGGCGGTAAAAATCGAAGTCATCTATGAGAAGGACAGAGTCAGGAATTAGAGAATGTGTCCAAGATTCTGTTACACATATAATATCAGGCGTCATTTCGAGAGCAATGGCTCTGATTTGGGCCATCTTGTTTATAACAGACCTGGCATTCAATAATATAATATCTAATGTGTTTCGAACGGCAATGCTATTTTCGACGGTATTTTAAAAAAATGTGGAGGCGGATATGTAAGCTGTGAATTAATTAAACTTGGATAATAAGTACCAGTTAATCTAGAGTTATTGACGTACGGGGAGTCAGCAAGAGAAGGCTGAGAATGAGACCTAAAGGAGGTGGGGATATAGTTTTCAAACATTGGAATGCTAGGGGAGTTAGAACATGGATAGACTTGTTGGTAGTTAAATAGTGGAGGACGGGGAGGAGGAGGAGGGAGGCTAGAAGGAAAGTAGGGGCTAATGGGTGAGGGTAGGCCACTAAAAGAATGAAACGGTGGGAAACCAGGTCTAGGTTGGAAGTCAAAGGAGGTAGGTTGACGTACCTGAGAGCAATTGGCCTTAAGTTGTGGGAAGCCTGAACTAGTTTGGGGCATAAATAATTTAGGGCAATTCATGTATGAATTATTTGCTGGATATATAGTAGGGCTTTGATAAGTAACCGGTACGCAGGACAGAGAATTATTCGGGGATATAATTGGAGCTGCGGGATTTGTAGACGTGCTGTGCTGAACAGACTTGTTAGATCTAATAGAAAGCGTCGTAACCCTAAATGGAACTGTACTATCTATCTTTTGGGTCGGAGTCTGATCCATTTCTTGAGTCTCACCGTTCTGACGCCAAACAACGGGCGACTTAACTGTAGACCTTACAGCACCCAGTTGGACAATAGAAGTTATCGGTCTAGCTGATGTAGACGGATTTTCATGTGTCTCAGCGGGACTATCCGGAGGATACGAAACGACAAATGGGGCTGCTGCTGCTGCTGCTGCTGCTGCTGCTGCTGCTGCTGCTGCTGCTGCTGCTGCTGCTGCTGCTGCTGCTGCTGCTGCTGCTGCTGCTGCTGCTGCTGCAAGTTTCGGGGCAGGCAAATGCGTCAAGTGGCTCGAGTGAGATGGAGATGTAGGAGAAAGAGGAAGGAGGGAGTCAGATGTCGCAGGAGTAGGAGAAGCTGAATCCTTACGGCCACTTGTATTATGACCGAGTTGGGGAGCATTAGACTGAGAAGCAGTGGGTTTACGTAAGAGTAGAGACCCGATTCTACGCTCCATAGGAGTAAGATCATGACAAAGGAAAAATTTTTCCTTCTCTAGGTACGCAGTGACACGCTCTCGGTGAGTAAAGATTGTGTCAACCTCGATTGATGAAAACAATTTGACTAATATGGATGGATTTGTACTACGGGAGGACACGCGTTTGGCATCGGCTATTTTATAGTTGAAACCACATGAATACAGGAAACTGTTTGCAACATCAATTGGCCGAGCAGATCGAGGAACATTTTTTAGCAGGAAGTTGTAAGAACGCTTCTGTCTATCGCTAGATTCACTGGTGATCAGGTGAACAAGTGAGTTGAGATGCCTACATTCTTCAGAGGGAATATCGGAGATGTTCCCGTCAAATAAATGTCCAAGAATTGTCAGCAAAGAGCCAAACTTTAGCATAAAGTCATTGCAGTGGTCAAGTGCAGACAGATTAAGCTGCCGACCAATTGCAACGGGTGACGACTGACTAGTAATATCATCTGACTTAGATTTAGGTAAAGCTTCTGACTTACGTTTAGTTAGGCCATGCTTACTTACAAGAGCCGAGAGCTTACGTCGACCAGTGACTTTCGGTCTCATCTTGTCTCGAGGCAATTTGTTATTAAGAAAACTTCTGGCAGACAAGTTGACTGAATTTTAGCTAGGGGCTAACGATGTAAAAATCAATTACAACAGTTAGAGAGAAATCGCATGCACAAAATGAGAATTGCAGAGTGCGATTAGTGAACAACGGTCATAGACTAGCAGAACTCGAAAGGAGATGGCAGCAGGCAGTTCTGAGAGAAAAGGCCTGTATTTAAGGAAATTCAACCAAAAAAACAGGTATTAAAATCGTTAGGTCTCACAGAATAACCACTTAAAATAATATCCTCCACTTATCTTCAAATTTAAAACCTGCGGCTTGACCTTGACCTATCAAGACACAGTGCTCCGAAAGATTGAGGCTCCTGGAGTATGATGCACCCAGATCCTTAATTACTCCGGGCACATTTATGCCGTGACAGCCAGTGCTTAGTTGAGGTTGGCGGTCGTCGCCAACCACCATGACTGAGCATTTATGCCACGAAAGAGAAAGGCGCCATGTGCGACACCGCTGGGCAAAGGCCTGTAGTTCGCTCTTTAGGAGCTCAAGCACGATGTCATGATCTGCCGGCTTATATCGATATGCAACTTTAAGATTATCGGCTTACATGAAAGGGCTTACCATTCTGAAATATATCGGGTACATCGTTAACTAAAAGGCAAAATAAAAGCGGGCCGAGTACACTACCCTGAATGACTCCACTCCTCACACGTGTGGGGTTGGAGATAGCATTGGAAATCTTAACACGTTGTGTGCGAGCGATCAGGTAAGAGGATATCAAATTCAAAACTTTGCCACCTATTCCGAAAAAGGGCAGTTTCAAGGGAACAAGAGTCTGGTCAACACGATCAAAAGCCTTAGTGAAATCGAAATATACTGTGTGAAGTGCAAAACCATTGTCCCTAGATTGGAGAACATAGTCAAAGACAGAGAGTTGACAGGCTGACTGAGTCTTCCCTATTCGGAATGCTTTGGGAACATTAAGTGACTCGTTGTCTCTTAACAAAACTTTCGCATTCACTTGAAGTAGGTCTAAGTCATGTTTAACTCTCTCCCTTGGAATGGTTGCCGTTGATTCGGGTACTCCTTTTATAACTACATTTCGCTTGCGACTGAATCTAGCGCCCGTTGTTGTCGCACATCTTTCAACGGACTGAGCGTTCTTTTCCAGTTTACTTGTTTCGCTTGCTCCGGATGAACTAGCTATTGGGCTGGCGAAAATACGATCAATGTACGAATTTTTTTTATTTTCGTGTCGATAACGCTACCTTCTGTTTTCCCGTGTTGTTTGTTGAAAAAGTTAACCTCATTTTCATTCGAAGCCTCCTCTTGAATATTCTGGCTTGGTTTCGCTCACAAAATCTTCCGATATTTTTATTGTTTAACAAAGTTAGGAGCCTCCGGTGGTCCTCCGTTGGCCTCCTGGCCGTCTTTCTCAGCTGGTCTGCCTGGATGTAAGTGGCCTTCGTTTTTTTTGGAGCGTACAGAGGTGCGTGTTGTTTTCCTGGGATGTTTCTCTGTTCTCTGAGATCGCTTTGGCTGGTCTTTTTCTTGCCTAAGAGTCTGGCATTCAACGGTGTCTAGTTCTCTGGACAAACCGTTGCCATTTTCAGCATTTGATATGATTAAGGAAGCCGTGGTGACATATGTTTTTTCGGATTCTGGATTGCCGAATTCGTCGGCTTCTTCTCTTCACGTAAGTGGTGAATAAGATTGCTTAATTGTTCTATCTCCATTTGTAGACCTTTTAACTCCCCCTCCATTTTCAAAAATTTATAAATGAGTCCAAAACATGTGGAACAACTTTCATCGTCGTATGTGACATCCCCCAACTTCACTAGACTTTTTGCCCATTTGACGGGCATTGGTCTGACAGCAGAACGTCCAACACTGCAGTCACTAATATTATGCGTAATACATGATCTATCATTTGTTTTGACTAGTTTTGCGCTAGTCACTGGTCTAGTGGCAGTGACGGTTTTCAGACAGATCGACTGCCCTAGTTCGAATCCGGCCCGGGGCGGACATCTGAAGGCATGGAGTTCGACTGAGAAGTCAGAGGACGCGCTAAACTTGCAAAACAACTCGCAATATTGGTGTGATGAATGGCTTCTCAACCGCCATTTCATCAAATGCCAATTCTAGTTACAGTTAGGATTCGAGATCTGAATATCTGGATTTCCTCGAAGGTCACGAACTCGAGATAGTAAACAAGGTGTTTGGATGATGTCCACTCTCAAACCCTCGTCTCACAGCGCCGATATACAAATAAGGCCTATAGACATCCTGGGAGCGACCAGGAGATGCTTCCTTAACTTGACAAAGATAATTTCGGTGAACTGTCTGGAAAATTACTACGGCCGATTTTTAAGCGTGGCATTCAGGCGTGACGCCCCCGGATTAAGCAAGTTTATATTCCCTTAGAGAAAATGCAACGAAAGGCGACCAAATAACGCGGCGGACTGAAGTGCTTACGTCATGAGAACAGCTCCAACCCTTTTCTACCTCCTATAGGCACTACAGGGGGGCCATGGTCGTGGTCTTCGTACTCGTCTGTCGGTGTACTTTGCACTTGAACTGGCTGGTTTTTAAATTTGTACTAAAATTATATCTCCGGGACCACCGATAACAACTGAAGACAAAGTGCGCCAAACCCTAACAACGGGCTAAATTCTTCCCACCGGGTTATTGAAGATCAGAAAAACTAACTTATTCAATCGTTCTGGGGGAAGCGTTCAGACATTTAAATAAAGACTCGATAAAATTTTATGATGGCAACATGCCAACTTGACAAAAACCGACGCAATATACTGATATATATATATATATATATATAT